AATTGGTTTTCCATTATTTCTTATGGGAAAAATTCGATCGGAAGTCGAACTTTTTAGGATTCGATCCGGTGTCATGACACGGAGAACACGGACCAGGGAAACAGGCGGACGAAAGCAGGAACGGGGTTAAATAAAAGGATTTGATGGGGAAACGTAAGGGCAAGGAAAAAAAAACAACAAACAGAGCTACACGACAATAGAACAATGCATAACACTACAATGACAGAACTAGGGAAACAAACTCTGATGTGGACTTAAATACATAAGACTAGGCAAACGTAACAGGCAACAGGTGAGAACAATCAGGGATGAACACGAGGTAACGAGGTGGGCATGGCACACATTAGGATCAGACTGAGCGGGGCGTGACAGAACCCCCCCCGCCCCAAAGGCGCGCACACCGGGCACGCCCGAGAGGAGGCGACGGACGAGACAAGACCGGGGAACAGGACCTGGAAGACAAAAACCAAAAAAAACATCAACAAGAAACAGGAAACAAGACCGAAACACAGAACAGAAACAGGGACGAGAAGAAGGACAAGACACGACAAAGAACAGGAAACGCGGACAGGCAGACAGAGAAAGGAGACACAGAGGGAACAGCCACAGGCGACACGAAGGGGCCAGGAGAGAACAGAGGAGGAACAGAGGGACGAGGAGGGAACAGAGGAGACACAGAGGGCAGAGGAGCAGAGAGGGGAGACCAGACAGGCAGGGACGGAGGGTAAAGGGGAGCCCAGAGGAGCCCAGGTGGGCGACGGGCAGCGGCAGAAGGGGCAGCAGGCGGAAGGGAGGCCGGAGCCGGAGGGAACGCCACAGGGGCCGAGGGAACAGGACGAGGGAGAGCCGGAGAGGACAAGGAGGGAGCAGGAGGGATCACCGGCAGAGGCAGGTAGGAGGGGGAAGCAGGAGGAGGGGAAGCCGGACCCGGTGAAGGCACCGTCCGACGCCCCGCCGAAGTAGGGGGGCCCGGAGGCGGCCGACACGGAGCCGGAGGAGAGGCCGAGGACCGGCGCCGAGGAACCGGGGGAGGGCCCGGAGGCGACCGCCGAGCCGACGGCGCAGGCCCCGCAGGCAGCCACCGAGCCACAGCCAGGGGCCGAACTGGCGAGCCAGGGGGCAGGGCAGGCGGGACCCGGGCCCGACGCCTGTGTCCCCGTCCCTTACGGGACACTGATAGGCAGGGTCCCGAGTGGTGTTGGTCCCGGTAGGGCAAGGGAGCGGGAGCCCATAGGGAGGTCCCTGAGGGGTCCCACTCCAGCTCCTCTTCCTCACAGACAAAAGGAGCTGGGTGCTATGTGTCCGGGTCCTCCTCGGGGACTAGGACTAGTGCAGGGGGGTTAGGAGTCTTTTCTCCATGGGAGGTGACAGGCGGTGCAGCAGGAAAAACAGGCTGGAAGGGCTGGACAGAAGAGCCGGGCTGGACGGGCGGGACAGGCAGGACTGCCGCAGCCGACACGTGGCCAGCAGGGGGCGCCGCAGCGGGCACCTCAGGCGTTGTCGACACGTGGCCAGCAGGGGGCGCCGCAGCGGGCACCTCGGGCACTGCCGACACGTGGCCAGCAGGGGGTGCCGCAGCGGGCACCTCGGGCACCGCCGACACGTGGCCAGCAGGGGGTGGCACGGGGACCTCTGGGACAGCTGGGGTCTGAGCTGGGGCCTCAGGGGGTGAAACAGGGGGCAAAGCAGGGGGTTGAGCGGGGAGCTCAGGCACTGGAGTCACGGGGAGATCTGGAGTCACGGAGAGATCTGGAGTCACGGAGAGATCTGGAGTCACGGAGAGATCTGGAGTCACGGGGAGATCTGGAGTCACGGGGAGATCAGGAGTCTGGACAAGCAACGCAGGAGTGACCACAGGTGGCACTGCAGGAGCCGCAGACTCCAGGCCAGTAGGGGGCGCCACTCAGGGCGGAGCTGCAGGCACTAGAGTCACCGGGGAAGCAGCTGCAGGCACTGGAGCCATGGGGGGTGCTGCCCGTTTCAGAAACCGCGGAACCCGCGGTATGGCATCCCAAATGGACTGTGCCCCTTTAAAAGCCAAGCGAGTCCCGGAAAAGGGACGCGCTGCTGATGAGGGCAGCGAAGCGGTAGGCGGCTGCTGTGAGGCGGTGGCGACGGTGACCTCCGGAGCGAACACCGTAGGGTGTCCAACAGAGGAAGCAGCGGAGAGGTAGACTGCTCCCAGGGAGACCTCCTGCGTGTTTCCCTGTCTCCGTTTCTTCTGCTTCCTTTTGCCAGCCACTTTTGCCTTCGCTGCGGGCAGCTTGGACAGCTGACCATACGCCAGTCCAAGGGCTGTGGCTTCACGTTTCAATTTAGACTCCGCGTCTCAGCTGCTTTATATTGTCGCGTACCTCTCTGGTCAGGTGCGCATCGCCGGGAGGCTAGAGCCCGAAGCAGGGATCCTCTTGTACTTCGGGCTGATCGAGCCAGTGCAATACCTCGTTGGTCGCGCTGAGGTAGTCCTCTCCGGACATCCGAGGTTTAGTTGTCTTTGCGAGTTCTGTCATTCTGTCATGACACGGAGAACACGGACCAGGGAAACAGGCGGACGAAAGCAGGAACGGGGTTAAATAAAAGGATTTAATGGGGAAACGTAAGGGCAAGGGAAAAAAAACAACAAACAGAGCTACACGACAATAGAACAATGCATAAGACTACAATGACAGAACTAGGGAAACAAACTCTGACGTGAACTTAAATACATAAGACTAGGCAAATGTAACAGGCAACAGGTGAGAACAATCAGGGATGAACACGAGGTAACGAGGTGGGCGTGGCACACATTAGGATCAGACTGAGCGGGGCGTGACATCCGGAGTCCGGAACGGATTAAGTTCAAGAACCGAGGTACCACTGTACATATATTTTTTTTCTTTACTAAACACCCTGATTTCTAAATCTGCACCTGCTTATGAATTATTTGCAATTGTACCTGAGACAAAATTTTGAGTAAGTAGTGCAATAACAAATCAAATTAACAAATCACTGAGAGGTGCAATCCTGTTTTATTTCAAGGTGGTGGGGATCTCACTACCCAGCATGACACAGCTGACTAACAATAAAATTGCCAAAAACCTGCTACACATACACTCACCTAAAGGATTATTAGGAACACCTGTTTAATTTCTCATTAATGCAATTATCTAATCAACCAATCACATGGCAGTTGCTTCAATGCATTTAGGGGTGTGGTCCTGGTCAAGACAATCTCCTG